ACCCCCACCCCCTCTTTGAGAGATGTTTCTCTTTGAGGAAGTGCTTTGACAATTTCTGGAAATTAACCCCCACCTTCTTCTGCCAAATTTGACACGAGTGCATTCATCGGGCATCCGAAACTGTAAGAAATCGATGAATTTAAAATTCCCTACCGAGAATGACATTTGTTTGGTATACAAGACAGGGGTTTTGATTTACATTTCCCCGCTGATTCCATCGACAGATGCATATCATAACCATGCAAGTTATGGAAAACCACAGGAAAGTGAACTTTCTATCCCTGTGATCTCATGCCTTTTCGAAACTGAAACTGGAAGTTGCAGTGGCTGTGACTAGCACCTCGAAATGATCAATTTAAGTTGTGGTGGTCACGAACTCTGTCGTCCCCTAATCATATTTGACAAATGTGACACACCGTAGCTTTTTGAAAAGTAGACTCTTCTTCCTGTGCTAAATTCATGGGTTTCACTTTTTGTTCTAATTTTACACTTACTTTCCTCTTTTTGGATTAGTTGTTTCAAATAGAATATCAACTACATCGGGACCACTGTCAACCCGATCGGTATTCGAAAGTGTATCTAATGAACACTTAACCATGTAGGAAAAACCGGAAGGCTCGTATTTTTGATACCCAATTGTGGTTGTTATGCCTTGGTCAGGTTCACATGCACTAATGGGGCAGAAAAAGCTTTCAATGTCGACATAAATCACACAAGGGACTTTGAGCTGTTTATCAGTTTGATTGAATTTGAGCCACTGTTGTTTTCTTTTTCGGAAAACTCAGCTTCTGTGGACCATGAGGGGAACAATTCGGAACATGTTCTTCCAGCAGTTGTTAGGTTGTGGAACCATGGAGACAATAATGACAATAATGTGTTTCACCATTGTGTGTGGTTCGGTCAGCTAGCAAATGGCTAAAATTTCTAACGAGACAATAACGTCTGTTTTCTCCTTTAGAGAACAAGAGAAGGTTGACATGTTTACTTGCACCGCGTAAATCTGTTACATTAAAAGGATTCCCTAACACAGTGACGGAGATGACGTTTTGTTTTTTAAATTTTGTTACTTGACACAAAGGGACAGGGAAATCAATACCATTCATATCCAACTCGCGTTCACACTGAGTATAATTTGTCACGCGTTTTGGATGATCAGCATACCTTACAAAGTGTATTTAGGTAAGGACTGACCACAAAAAACACTTCCTATCTGTGTTTTGTATATTAAGACCGTTTTTTCCTTTGAATGATTGGTGGTAGGGGGATGAGACTGCTACCCTCTAGCGGTGTATACTCTACGGTCTTGACTTCCAACTTTTGTATTTTGTCAATTGCCCAACCACTCCCATCCCGCTCAAAGTTTTAACTTTGCATTGTGCAAATGTCTAAAAGCCTTACGTTCGTACATGCTAAATTAATAAATCTTAATGTAGGCTCAGAATATATGGATTCGTTATTTCAATGATATTTCACAAACTTTATAAAAAATGTGAGAAACCATTTCATACATTTGACATTTTGGAGTCGTTCTATCTGTATGTCTTGAGTTGGCGTTTGAATGTCACTTGAAAATTGAAGCACGTCCCACAGGTTCCCAGGAATTGAATGCTAAGTTAAATGTTCTTTTGTGTCTTAGTAAATATGACTGCACATTACTGCACACTTCAAATGTGCTGACCCCAGGTGGTTGCTTGTCAGTAGATACGGGCACGTTCAGTTGGTCAGCGAGGAGGGCGAGACGTCGTTAACTCTACTCTGTGTCCGTGTCGCCAGATACGCCGTTTCCAATCATCAAATTCCACCACTGATTTCATGTTGTATAGCTGTCTATCCATCACACTGAAAAATACAATATATATATATATATATATATATATATGCATATGATGAAGAGCCTAAAGTTGTTTGTTTCAAGTCGGTCGTTATACTTTTTTTACGTATAAAACGGAGGTATACAGAGGTAATGCACTTTTCAACAATAACCCAAACTTATGTAAGCATGGATAATAATAGTGTACGGTATTTAAACATCAATGGGGAAAAGCGTCTGATACCATATACAAACATACAATTGATTAACACTTTCCTTTTATCGCTTAGTTGATTTACAAGAGAGCGATGAGTACACCTCAGCTGGCGGTGTGGGACTGATAACGCCTCGCTATTTTATCTGTTACGATTTTCTAATGCACCGAATATACACAACTCTAAATAATAAAAAAAGAATGTTTGCACGTTGACGGTCGGACGATGAATGACTTACTGTTATGATGTGGGCTTTAAATAAAGGCATGTGATGAAACGGTTTGAACTGGTTGCGCTAAATATAGACTTCACGCAAAGCATATCCCTCGTCCCTCAATGATCCCTTTTCGGGTGGGGGTGGGAACCTATATTTGTCAACCGACATATTAAGGAAAATAGGCCAATCCCTCATCTCTTATTGGTCCCTCACTTATCCATCCCGATAGGGAGGGTTTAACTATAAATATAGAAGGAGGGACGGGGTGGCAAAGAACTCTCAGTTCCCTCCAAAACGTTTAGTTGGCGGAATACAATGCATTTGCTTTTTTAATAGCAGCAGCTACCTTACTAATTATTTAATTTTTGTCGCTGTGAGAGCTAGCGTAAATGTAGATTATACAATTTCCCACACTTTGTAATAAATGTATGAGCATAAGAAAGTCCTGGTGTGGTAAAATTCAACCAAGCATTCTGTTTTCTTTAAAATGGGCTGGTCAATATTTTGCTGTTACATGAAAAGTTAAAAAATAAAAAAAGGAAAAAAACATAAGCAAACAGACAAAACAAAAAAGACGCAACTGTACAATGGAACAAGCCATACGATACCCTCAATGTATCTGTTCGTTTCAAGTTTGACTCATAGAGACCGGTACCATCTGAGGTGAATAATTATCATTGTGATTTTCTGAATTAGCCGGTTTTTATATATAGCTTTAGATATACGGTGATGCAAAATTGTTAATGCTAGGTTGCGTATCATACTTAACTTTATTTTGTATATAGTCAAAAATGAACATAATAGGAATAAATATATTGAACCTAATGTATTTACATGGGTTTGCACAAAATCTGTTTTGAAATGTAGAAATCGAAAAACCATTGGTTGATGTATCATGTAAACATAGTGTTTTACGTTTTATCAAATGTTACATTTAACCTTGACCTTCTCACACGCACATTTTTACCCGTGTTACGAAAGAGTAGTTCCACGAC